TTTAACCAAATAGAATAGATCACATTTCTGTTAGAAATCGTATTTCAGGTTTATTTGTTGTTTACACTATCTATTCACTACCTATTTCACTTTACACTACCTATTTCTCCCCAGCGTTACGATTCCCGACGAATGACCTTGCAATTTGCATGCGTTAGGCATCGCAGAACTCACATGTGGGCGAAAGTATGGTTCAATCATAGTCAGAATATTAGTTAGTACTTCACCTAAGTAACATAATTAACATTTCGCAATGTATTTTTTTACTTTCTATTGACATCCCTTAATAACCACGGAAAGTCCGCCGTGACAAAAAAGATGCAAAGAAATATGGACACCAGTGCGCAGCGATAGTTTTATTTAGCTTGCGTGTGCGATTTATCTGATTAACAATAATAATGTAGGCTATTAAACGTCGGTAAGCAGTCGACGTCAAAGGAGTGCAACTTCTGTACGTAGTACTATTATTTCTTCTGTGCCATTAATCATAATACCGTATCCTTTCCAGTCTTTTCAGCTCGAAGACGTCTTTCAATGCAGCGGTGAAGTTTCGCGACAGACGACAACAATTATTTTATTTTAATGTTTTACTACATTCGTACCTTTTACAGTGTTTTAGCCTGAAGTAGTTTGTTTTTTCTTTTAACACTAAACAATTAATCTTTTGAGCGCCACGCCAAAAACGCATTACGATGTCCTGTACGCCAAAGCGAAAAGTAAACAAAATTACCTACAAAAAAATCGTGTTGCCAAGAGTTGATACATCGATAACACAAAATAACTTGATTTTGTTGGTTTTTATGCAATAAATGACTCTTTATAATCGGGTATATTTTATTTAATCTTGTGCTGTCTTCCACTCTTTTTATATATGTACTTTGTACATAAATAAAAACAAACAATAACAATAAAATAATAGTAAACCACAACACTACTCTTCATCGTGATGACGTCACTGTCACGACTGGACGACAACGGCGTAGCTGACCTTCCTTTTTGAAACTTTCTTACAGCCTGGCCACGGGACATTCACCGTAGCCGAATCAGTACCACAGATTACTGACTATGTAGGTACCAGAGAATCAGACTGAACTAAAGTAAAAAAGGAAATTATTGTTTGAAATCGAATCATTTTTTTATGTATTTCTGGCTTGAATTTTAATTTTTTAGAAATATTTATATATATTATTAATCAAACTATGTAATCATACAGCGGTCTTTTCAAAATAAAATCAAACCAACATTATGATGCAGGTATGTACATAGGTACATCTTGGATGCTTATTTTTAATTTGGTTTAATAATGTGGTCGTATTTCCATTATATTTTAAAGAATCTGAACACTGTTTTACACGTAACACGTCCACTCACTGGCAATTCAAATACATCCCAAGCCAAAGATTTTCTTTTAGGACCCGGCATTTTTCAAAAACGGAATTTAAAACACGAAAAACTACAACAATAACCGGCACTTTAAAGTTAACCTCAAATCTACATAAATGTGACACTTGTTTGTTATGAATGAATATAGTCTCAAATGATCGGCAAACTTCGCTCCATGTCGGTTTCATTCGGTTTTCAAACTCGAGTCAGAGAGAATTCAACTCGAGTTAAACCCAACTCGAGTTAGTTACTCGAGTCGACCATCACTAGAATCAGTACCTCTCTATTATCTTGATGTTAATGCTGTTAGTCTATACGACTCTTACAGCTTCATCTTGTCACAGGGCTAAAAGGGGTCACTAAATAGCTAGCTAAATCAGTACCTACGGTGCAAGCCACGGAGTCGGGCGGCAGACGCGGCCAATAGTATAGGGAACAAAATATTTTAGTTGTTTTCGCCGCGAAAAATGCCGGGCCGACAAAAACAACTTAAAATTCTATCGCATTGACTTTTATCTCCAATTCTGGTTGAATATTAACAAGAATATTATCGCAGGTTTCGACACTCATTCTGGTATTTACTCGAATTTTTTTTCTAGATGCATTCTATCTGTTGTGGAATTCTCCATTTATAACCCGATTCCTATTCAAATCATGTACTCCGCAATCTTTTTACCAAAATATACAGAGATCGACTCAAAATATTTTGTGTCGGGGGAGGCGTAGGCCAAGTGAAGCACAGAAGAAAAGTTACGCTCTTATGACAGTGGGGGTTCGATATGATGCTGATGCTACGTTGATTTTGAGAATGAAAAAGAAAATCGCACAACACAAAATGTAAAAATCCTGATAACACTATTGGTCACACTGTGTATAGGAAAAAGACCCATACCAACCGATATCTAAATGGTGAATCTCACCATCATCCTTCACAGTTAGCTACCGTGGGTAAATCTTTGTTTCAGAGAGCACGAGGGATCTGTGACAGAAAACATCTGGCCGCGGAGCTTCAGCACGTCAAGCAAGTATTGCAAGACAACAAGCTTCGGGTCCCGCACCTACGTCACAGTGAACGAGTGAAGCCGGCAACAGTCGAGCGCGCACCTGCTCTACTACCATATGTTGGAGGAGTCACGGACAAGATTGGCTACATCTTGAAGCGAGCGTCCATTAAGACATACTACAAGCCGCTGAAGAAGATTAGTCAATTTTTACCATCCATCAAATGTAATATTCCTCTACAAGATGCAGGTGTGTACAAGCTAGATTGTGAATGTGGTCTCTCTTACATAGGTCAAACAAAGAGATCTATAAAAACCCGCGTGAAGGAACATATAGCTGATGTGAAGCACCGACGCTCCAGGAAGTCTGCAGTCTGCGAACATGTTCAAGATCGTCCCCACCATTACATTAGATTTGATAAACCACAAATTCTCGCAAAAGAACACCGACGCGAGGCTATTGAAATTAAAAAACATCCAAATTTCAATAGAGAAGATGGTTGGGTGCTACCATCTGCTTGGGATCCTATAATCAACAAAATTAAACCCAAACCCAAGCATACCACTGCAAGACTTCATGATACTATAAGCTCGTTTTGCGTAAATCGGACCAAAAATTAATATTAAAAAACTGAAGGTAGCCGGACTAACTATGACATTGGGACGTCGAACATCTCAGTCCCCCCCGTGACCATGGGCGCTGTAAAGCACCCGAAACGTCGGGATAATAATAAAAATAAATTAAAGTAGGGATAATAATAAAAATAAATTAAAGTAATTAAACGCGATAAAATCCGTAAATAATAGTTTTATTCAATGTGTAGTGTTCGCGTAAATTTAAGAAATCATTACAAAATGTAAAATTGCTTATCATACCTTAAGAAAAAAATAACATTTATTTGTAATTTTATATTATTAAAATAAAAAACATTCATCATCGACGCTTTTCAAAATGCGAATGAGTTCTGAGGAATCGTTCATGTTGCACTGCACTACTTTTTCCGCTACTCGTTTATGACGTCATCAGGGTGTCGTCTATCCTTGACACAGATTTTAGGAGGTAATCTGTGATCCTTGACCACGGCGCGAAGTTGACACGTGAACTGATTAGATAATCGACGACTACGTTAAGCGTTAACCGTAGTGCTCTTATTACTTTGTGATCGATGACGCGCTAAGGATGCGCCAGAGTTGAGATATTAGATTTATTATGCGAAATTGATTTGATGAAATTTTCTTTTATTTGTGCAGCTGATGATAGTTTTATGTTTCTTAACTTTTGTTTTATTCAAATATCAATAATAATTTAAAAAATAACACGCTTGCGTTTAATTTTGAATAGTTTTCAATAAATCTGTGCATAACGCCTTACAACACTAGCGGTCAAACATAGCTGACTTTGGCGTGCTGGACATAGTATTTGCTTAGATAAAAATCCATTTTTTAGGTCAATGTTTCTTAGTACTAATGACTCTAGACTTGTTTTTTATACTCCCATGTTGCTGGGTTATTGTTTTTTGAGGTGTAGAATTAAAATACCAGTAATGATTTTCCAATATCTATATTGCATATTTTTGTGGGCCGGGTTTTTTGTCAACTATAGACGTCGTTGGCGCTCAGGACCCGCAGGTGCTGGTCAAGTATAGGCGACTTTGTCGCTCAAAAGGTTAATTACAGCAAATTTATAAAAACTACTATGTATTCAGTTTATGGTGATTTATTAGTCGTTAAACTTAATCAGATGTGTGTAGGTGTTGCTGAAAATGGTGTCCAAAGATGCCTCCGTAATCATCTAAAATTAAGTGTCCATCTATATTTTAAATTTCTGTGTATCAATTTACTGTCAATAATGTAATTAAATTTCTATAAAAATAATTGTTTTACTTCAGAACTATTAAGTATTTCTGTGTTCCATTCAAATTTTCTCATTATATGTTTTAAAGTAGTATGTTACATATTGCAGCGAATAGTTAATTTTGATCTTACTCATGTTTCGTGATATTAAATTCTAAAAATTTCCAAATGTATGTATTATATTCATTTACTACTATTTCCATTCCAATTTTCTACATTCAGATGTAGAAAGTAGAAATGGAAATAGTACCTATGTAACAGCTGAATATTTAATATTGGATGTGGGAGTGAGCAAGAAGCATATTGCTAACATATACACACGCACACATTCACAGAGCATTACCATGCGAGAGAATTAGAATATACACACAAACATAATATCCATATCACACTCAACAATACACATCGTAACAATCATCAGGTGGCGCTTTTTCTCGTAAGAGAGCTCTTTTTCCCTATATAGTTGTTATACTCTTTGTACTAATCCCAATACCACCGTCGATAGTACGACTCGTGTTTCGCCTCTAAACAAAGCATCCTCAGGTGAAATAGACTGCGGTGGCTGACCGAGTCGGATGCGCGGATATTAGTAATAAATTTTTTAACGTCTTTAATGCCTACAATGGATTTGCCCAAAGAAATGTTTGATGTTATTAATTATCGTATTGTAAGTTGTACAGTTGTTGCTTTGGGGATGGTTGCAGGGAGGGTGCAATAAAAGGCGAGTGGTACGTGGTACAGTTATATTAGGGCGCGGCGCGCTCAGTGCGCGGCCACCTTGGCAGCGATGCGCTTGTCGCGCTCCTCGGCGATGGTGAGGCGCACGCCCTTGCCGCGCGGCAGTGAGATGTACGCCTTCGTGCCCTTGCCGATGATGAACACGTTGTTCATCCTGCAACACACGACCCCCACATCACTAACTGCCGTAGGTAGTACCACGGGACGGTTATCTACATACATACAGCTGGACATAGTATAGGAATAAATTTTAATATGTTGATGAAGAACACCAATATGTATCTTACAACTTTATACAATCTCATTAAAAAGCTTTTCTCAAAATTTCCTTCTTAAATTATCCAACACGACCAGAGAGAGATCAAGCACGATTTACGAATGATTTTTCATGCTTTTCGAGGACGTAGATGAAACAGCGCCAACTGCCTGGCTCCAGACTACTATTTAAAACCTTGACAGAAAAACCCAATGACTGATATTGACGTGACCCGGAATTCGAACCTGGGTGTTCATGATCAACAATCGCATTTACAACTAGATCAATGAGGCGGTCCACCTCGCCTACACCAAATCCAACCAGGTGCCTCTCAATTTCCTGCCCGCATTCATTACAGCCATGTTCAAAGCTTAAAATAAAGCTTAACCTCACAGCAAACAAAATACACAAAACAGATAAAATTAAAAAGTGAAGCTAAATAAAAACACAATACCAAACTGCAAATTCAGTATGCTACATACAATTGACCGAAGAATTTTCATATATTTTATAAGACAATACTACAAAAAATTACAACATTTTGTTGTAGAAATTATGTTATATGCAATCCAAATTGCATTAATGAACCCTGTGAGCTGCTATTATTTTGCCATTTGATATTCCTTTTTATGACTACACTTCATAGTTCAAGACATCAATCTTCTTCCTTGGTCTTAGTGCTCAACCTCAGATGCTAAACATAGAACCATAGATTGCTTCATAGAATAATGTTTGCTATCATTTCCACACTTTGCAAATAGGTTAAGAAATGTTTTATTACTTTGAGTTATCACAAACATACCTCCTACCCCATGTACATGTTAAAGCAGTAGATTCCCTTACATGACACATTAACATCTTCATAACACTGAACAGACAGTGTCATAAGTGCCACTTGACACCAGCTCATTAAAATGTGCCTAGGAAATATATATATATATTCAAATATGCATTCAATTCAATGGATTTTCCACCATTGAGAAAACCAATAAAATCACCACACAACGGAAGTTGTCCTTACATTAAATTGTCCTTATAACTCTTAACAGAATATTATTAAATAGACAGACATGTCCAGCCGTGTACAATATATGAATTAATAAGCAGGAAAGGATAATAAACCTGACTATAGCATATTTTTCACAATTGAAAATTATTATTATTACAATAACATTATGTAGACACACTATGTAGCTACACATTATCATCTTGTCATTCCTATGTAACAACACAAAATAAACTATGAGTAAGACCAGACACACATTGAATGTAAAATAACCAGACCAACAACCAGCAGCAGTACACATCTGATACAACAATAACCAACATTACTTCAACACAACGGACCAATATCCAACACTGGCCTGTTATGAAGTGAGAGAGAAGTAAACAGACGTGTAGATATAAAGTTAAAGTTACAGCCTATATACATCCCGCTGAGCACAGGTCTCCTCTGAGGGTTTAGGGCAAAGAAGTGTCCGCCGCCCCAATGTGAGTTGGCGAACTTCACATTTCTTTGAAAATGTTCTTTTTATTATTTATCAGACATGCCTTCCTCAGGCAGGGTTTCCTCACGATATTTTCATTTTGCAATCAATTTCATTTGTACCGGCGGGGATCGAACCCGGGTGTAAAAAAAGATATGCCTTAATAATTTTTCAGTAAGGCTACAACCCTCCAACATTTTTATGTTAATATTATCCTATTACTGTGATTTTATACATTAATAATCTTAATAATTTATAATTGTACTCCAATTCCGCTTAATTTTACAATGAATTTAAATGCATTATCTAATAATTAAAACAAAATGTTAAATGAAAGTCAGTACACAAATTGCTTTTACTTGGTAGAGCCACACTGCAGGTAAATTTTCAGTTGTAGCATGAATGGGTCGGTTCGACTGGGGCAGAACCATGCTCTCACAGAATATGGCATCGTAATGCTGCTGTGTTTCATATGATGAGTGAAGAGAACTGGAGACCCCCTTTACTGGAATCGAGGCATTCCATCTTGCATTTGCATTTTGATCCTTAATTAAGGATAGATAAATGTGGACGTCTATGGGCCACAGCAACCACTTACCATCAGGTGGACTGTGTGCTTGTATGTCACCCAATGCTATTAAAAAAAAAGTCCCTAGGGTTGGACAACACATCTGCATCTTGATTCTTGACTGTGGATAGATGTAAATATCTCTATGGACCACAGTATAATATAGTCCATCCACTTACTATCTGGCAGACAGTTTGTTTGATGGTCGCTCCTATTCTATAAAACAAAAAAAATACAGAAGCTCTGGATTGAACAGCATTTCATAATGTCAAAGTGTACCTGGTAGCGAATGTGTGTCCGGTGGAGTCACGTATGTGTACGATGTCGAAGGAGCCGGGATGTCGCTCGCGGGACACGATGGTACCCACTCGACCCAAGTTACGTCCGCCCGTGATCATGCACAAGTTGCCTGCACAACACAGTCACCCACTTACCCACTTGTTATGACAATTATTATTACAAACAACCTCTCCTCAACCTCAAAGTATTTCACAGTATAATAAGTACACATGCTAAGATACTGCCCAGGCTACACCTTGATAACTTTCTGATATTGACAGAAATTATCAACCACATACTGAGTCCAGTATGTGGTGTCATCATTGTGTTACACAATATTACTAGTCAGTAATATTGTGTAACACAATGATGCAAACTCATTGAAGTGTACCCATGTGTGGCAGCTTATGTGATAAATTCACATGTATTTTTTAGATGCTATATGTATATTACAGTTGTAGCACAAACTGGTCAGCTTGACCGGTGAAGGACAATGCTCCTACAGAATAGGAAGATGAAATAGCAAATAACTATTTCGTACAGAGAGTGAAGAGAACTGGAAACCAAGTAATCCTTGTCTTCAGGAGAAACAATGCATCCACATTTTTATTCTTAATTGAGGATAGATGTAGATGTCTATGGACCACAGCAAAAAGCTTCCTTAAAATCGATGCGATGGCCCAAGTCAATCTATTAATTATTTATAACATAAAAGATTTTCAATATTGATATGGTCACAATAAGATGTTGCTACGTTAGCTAATTACGTAATAACTTAAGACAGAAGGACTCTTAAGTAGGGGCTGAATAAATTAACCGACTTGGTATTACATGGATCTCACAACTTTTTACGATAGAAGAACTGAGTTGCGAGACTTGGTTTTTTTTACAAGTTATGTTTTTTATGGCATCTCATTTCTTTTTGCCAACAAAGCAGTTATCTACATCTTTTAGTCCATTATATTATACATATTAGAAATGGGCTGAATATTCGTTTTATATTCAGTATTCGTCATATTCGGCAGCTTTACCGAATATTCGTATTCGGCAGAATATTCGGCTAAATCACCGAACATTCGTTAAAGTGGTACTCCAAGTGTCCACTGCATTGAAATGTATGAATTGAGTAATGCCATGTCTTTAATAATTTCACTGTTGAAAGTATTATGGTACATAGTATATATTTTTGGGTAAAATCTACTTATATAGCGTTATGTTTTTGAGGCACTGTAGATTTATTTCCAAATATAGCAAATTGAAAGCTTGATATTTTTTTTGAAATTACATAAAAAACATTACTTTACATTAGTACATTTCACTTTACTTTGGTTGTTAGTTTCACTAAAATAAGTTCAAATAGTAGATCTCCTGTCACTCATCTGTATCATATTATAATTATCAATATGCACTAAGAATAACACAACGAAATAAAACGAAACAAAAATACAACGAAAAAATAAGCATGTGCAGGCGAATTGGTCAGTACTATAGTTCGGCCGTTCAGAGAATGCGTTCCTGACACGTCGCGATTGAACTGACGACGTAACTTTGTAATGGCGTTGCAGTTACGATAAAAATATTTTTGCTGGTTGATTACCGTTTTAACAATTGATGAGCATTAAAACAACATTATTATATCAATAATCAATGAATGTTATAATTTTGTGCAAAACTGAGTGTCAAATAACTTGGTAAACAATATTTTTCTAAATCTATACTGCGCTATTTACAAGGTTATGTCAGCGCTTTATATTTGTAGTGCTGTGCTAACAATAACAGACAATAACAGTATCGTAATCTGTTCTTATACAGTTATACTTTATAAAATAATACGTTTTGTTTTTCTTTTTAAGAATTTGAAAATAATGGACTATAATATAACTTTTATTAAATATAAAAATAAAACTACGACCAAACCGAACGCGCGAAAGAAAGTAGCATTTTTATATTTAGGTTGAAAATGGTAACCCCAAATGGCGTTATAGGCCGCCATTTTGTGACGCTAAAACAGTCGTCTGTTGTCGTTTCGTGCGCATAGACCACGTTCTTCAAGTGTTTTCAATCTGTTTTTATTTGATTACCCGGCTTTCGTTTAATGGACTCCTGCTTTTCAAACTGACATCGGCGCTAAATCGGACTTCGATTGTGTTTTGTATTGCGTTCTTTTTACTTTTGGTGCATAATAATGCCTAAACGTGGACAAACATTGAAAAGTGGAGCCCGTGAGCTAATCATCAAGCTGCAAGATTACTTTGAGCGGGAGCGGCAAAATGGCGGACCCCTGTTACCTGTCGAACAAGTACAAGAACGCGTCTCTCAGGCGCTTGGAGTTAGCAAACGAACGATAACAAATATTAATAAAGAAAAGTTCGGCTCTACTGGCACGGAAGATAATATTTTACGTACTCCGAAGAAGAAACGTAGAACTAAACCCGTGACAGATATTGACACCTTTGACGCCGATGCAATCAGAAAACATATATATGGTTACTATTCCAGAAATGAATATCTCAACAGGAAGAAGCTTTTGGCATCGTTAAGAGAAGCTGGACTGTTTAGCGGGGGTAAAACTGCTTTAACCAAAATCTTAAAAGATATTGGTTTTTCGTATAAAAAAACAGACAAAAGAAAAATTTTATTAGAACGATACGACATAATTTTAAAACGGATAAGTTTTTTTAGAGAAGCAAAAAATATTGATAACTGGGATAATGTCGTGTTCATTAACGAGACATGGCTAAACGCCAATCACACGGTTTCCCGTTCTTGGACGGATGATACACAAGCGTCGACGTCGAAAGCACCAATGGGTAAGGGGGCCCGTCTGATAATATGGCACGCAGGCGCAGGTTCTGCAAAATACGGCTTTGTGGAGAACGCGTTACTGGCATTTCAATCAAAAACCACAAATGACTACCACGAGGAAATGAATGTCACTACATTTAAAGAGTGGTTCCAGAACGTGCTTTTGCCCAGGCTACCAGAGCCTTCTGTAATATTCATGGATAGTGCTTCCTATCACTCGGTTCAAATACAGAAACCACCTACCCAAGCTAATAAAAAAGAAGAAATGGTGGATTGGTTACAAGCAAAAGGCATTGACGCAAATATGCAGATACTAAAACCAGAGCTAATTAAATTAGTTAAAGAAAATAAAGCGGCAAATGTGCGAGAATCGATGAACTGTTGGAGTTCATCGCGTTCTAAGAATTCCACCGTATCATTGCCAATATAACGCGATTGAGCTAATTTAGGCTCAAATAAAAGGTTACGCCGCCCGCCACAATACTTCCCCGCCATTCAGCACGAAAAAGATGATGACCCTATTAAAAGAAGCCTGCGGGGAAGTCACAAGAGATGACTGGGCAAAGGTTGTTGAGGAGACTAAAAACCTGATTGTGGAACATTTTGACCGAGATATCAGGATTGATTCTGTTATTGATAATAATATAATTATACATGTAGGCGATGATGATGATGAAGACACCGCCTCCTCAAGCAAATCGGAGTCTGATTAATATTCTGTACGCACATTCAATTCAATGTACTTTATTGCATAGAAATACAGATTGTAACTTTGTAACAAAGAATAAATAAAACAATTTTATTATATTAATATTACCTTTTTTTGGTTTCCACTTAAATTACTAAAATATAAATTTTAAATGATTCCGCCAATTTAAAACGAAAATAATCTTAACGAACGAATGGTAACGAACTCAGTGTTATGTTGTGCCCATCACTAGTCGTGACTAACTGATAGGTGTCAGGAACGCATTCTCTGAACGGCCGAACTATAGATGATGCAATAACATATCAGGTGTTACGGGGGAGTGAGGGGAAAGGCTCGGCGCTAATCCTGCGCGCTTTATGGTAAAAAGTTTCGACATAAATTGGTTAAGTACCGAGGTGATCCTGCCGAATAATGTTCGGCCGAATATTCGGTTCGGTAAAAGTTTAACCGAACGTTCGGCCGAATATTCGTATTCGGTGAAATCCATATTCGGCTCATCTCTAATACATATACAGGTACACTGATTCATTCACTGCAAATGTAACTTTGTAATCCTATATATTTATATGGGATTACAAAGTTATTTATGCAGTTAGTGTGTTCGGAAAACTGGACCGAAATTGAAAAATATTTTAAATTTTCCTTAATTCATACACTAAACACTAATTGTGTTCTAAGTTTGAAGCTTCTATGTCTGCTAGAAGTTCCGTAGAGTTTTGATGATCGGTCAGTCAATGAGTGACAAAATTAAGAAATTTTGACTAATTATAATTCCTAAACTACTGGTTCAAATTGAATTAAATTTGAAATATACCGTGTCTATACAATGTCTGCTTGGTTTCTGAAAATTTAGGTTTCTAGTTCTATCCAAAACGAAGTCATAGGGGGTCGAAAATGGCCTGAATTGCTTCAAAAAAAGTATGGTATGGCCATGCCCCCAGGTCTAGATCACTCCTAGGCTTTCTTCTATTTGTTCATGAAATTTCAACACTAGATTCAGTTTTTTTGAAGATAAGACAGGATCAGACTGACCCATATATAGAACAAATTTTTTTAAATTGTGTATTTTTGCCATAAAGCATGTAAATAATGCCATGAGCTAAGACACTTCAATTTTATTTATATGTATACAGTATATATTTTGGTTGTGATCGATAGAAATACTAATAACAGTTGTAATGCTATACTCTTATGAAAAAAAGAAACATTATTAATCAATTTTAAATCTGACCAGAAATTTGCTAAATATCCTCCAGCCACAAGGATAAAAAGGATTAACTACATAATAGACATTTTATCAAAACTCAAAATACCACCTATGCCATCTGGGTGTCGTTCAGCCCAACACTATGTTTTTACTTTGAGTTTCTTCCTCATACAACCTCTTTGTGGAATTGTTTACCACTGGTTATTTTATGGACTGATGAGACTTGGTACTTTTAAGAAGAAAGTTTCAATCTTTTTAAAATGTTAGCAATAGAGCTACAAGTACCCTGGTGTTGCACTTATTTGGGCTTACATAAAAAAGGATGGGGTTTGAATATGAAGTGACAGACCTGACTCAAACTTGATGAAGTCCATGATCTTGGAAGAGGCGATGTCGAGCTGGATGGAGTCGTTGACCTTGATGAGCGGGTCAGGGTAGCGCACGGTACGGCCGTCGTGCGTCACCAGGTATGGCACGCTCTTGGGGCCCGTGCCCACCGCGCGCACCTTGCACAGCTTGTACTGCAACCGTCACCCCATTGTTACGGCACTTGTCTACCTCATTGACACACACAATGTCTTGACTGCTTCATAGTCTAGTGGTAGTTAACGCGATTGCTAATCATAAGGCTCCGGGTTTGAATCCCAGGTCGGCCCAAAATACCGGTTATTGAATTTTGCTGTCAAGAAAGTCTATCTCAGTAGCAGCCTGGATCTCGCTCCAGTCATATTGAATTATCGGACTTATGAAAATGAGAGAATAGAGAATGCACCTTTCTTTGCACATACACTCGGATACTATAATCCTGTCCTGTTAAGACAGCTAGTTTCCATTGAGACAGGCCACCATAACCAAAATTCAGTGTAAAGAACAGTAGTCCACCGCTGGCCATAAGTCCTCTCAACAACATGGCAGAACAAATAAATCTCTTTAAGTTAGAACCATAACTCTCCAGCATGATGAGTTATGGTTTCTACAAGCAGACATGTTCAAAGCACAGACTTGAGACCTCACGTTTGAAATTCTTATTGCTACCATCATTCTTTAAGTTGAGGTTCATATTTCCAAAAAATTGATAATTCTTACATAATTAAAAACTAAGCATCTAATTCTCCTTACATAATTAAAAACTAAGCATCAATAAAGAAATTTCCCAAATGCTAGCGACAGTTCTCTACTAACTTAACATTTTGATGTCACATGATGTGTACATGTTAATCCTCATCTAGCCTAGACTACTTACATCTAATGTAACACTTATTCCAAAATAAATGCCCTCCATCTGCTCCATCTTTAACTTCCCATATGGTGGCCTAATTTTAAGAAATTAATCATAACACAAGTATTTTTTGCAATCATCAGATTTATTAAAAACTCAAACCTTAGCTTCCTCCGGTGTGATGCGGTGAATCGTAAAGCGGCCCTTTACATCATAGATTAATCTAAACAATTCATTGGTTTTTTCAATAGACACAACATCTGAAATCAAAAATAATAAAATATTTTATTATTGTTTTACTTTGACAGAATAGAGAATCAACAGGGACAAGAATATAATTATGAAAAGCTATTCAATACTCACAGTCACATTGAAAAAATTATTTATAGGTAGAATGAATATGATTAATTACTTCTTATTAAAAAAATAAAAACTAAATAATAAAACCGGAAAATTAAAAAACCATGTACCAAAATAGGGGCTGAAACTTTTTAATGTTACCATTTACAAGACATTGTAGTTGTTACATTGGGCTTGTAATTTGTAATATAACTTAGTCTATTTAAAAAATTAAAAAAATTAAAAGCAGACTTTCAATACATAACATTTTGATGTCCTTTACAGAATAAAATGAATTCCAAATAATTGCTTCTGAAGTCAAGGCTTTACTTTTTTTATACTTTATGTCTTAATACAAGACTTATATTTACAATACTTTATGTCTTAGTATTATTTAGATTTTAGAATTACTTTATTCTTTTTAGATTGTTGAAGTCAGTCTTTAATTATTTTTAAAGTTAAATTTTGCTTATAAAAATAATGGCAACCCACTGAACTATGTTCAGCAACAGACTAAGGCTGCAATAGGTAGAAACATCACATATTTCTAACCACGAAATTCTTTGTCCAGGTGACATCATTAGATAACTCAAAGCCTTCGGATCAGAATTATCCATCTGCTTGTTAAAATAGCAACTATACATAATGTAGTCATTTTTGATACATCTATGTATGTTTGCACTGGGAAACATCCAACACATAATGTTTTGAAATAAACCACACATCATGTTTTGTTGATGGTGGCATTCGCACTCACAAATTAGTGTAAAATTTTCAACAGATATTTAAATTTATCTTTCAACATGACAATATTTCTACAAATTTGTTTTCAAACATTTTTTTCTGTAGCTATAACAATATAATATTGTTAAAATATTTAACATTATTTCACTACATGTTCTTTGACTATGCAAACGCTTTTTGATACATTGACAGAAAACCGTGTTCAAAACATGTTTTTTTTGTGAAAATCACATCAGTGCAAACTAAAAGATAGAAAAATAATTTATATCATAATTCCACAGCCCCCTTCACAAGTCACAAACCATGATCCTGAGCCACCTGCATCCACCTACTACCTCCATCCCCAACTAGGTCATCACTCCATCTAGTGGAGAAAGACACCCTACACTTTGCTTACTGGTAAAGAGGTTGATATGCAAGAACTTTTCCTCCTGACCAGCTGTTGGTTATTTGAGTTATAAGGCCACTTATTTCTATTTCTATATATATATATATATATATATATATATATATATATATATATATATATCATCACAATATTAATCCTACGTCCTTTCATTTCGCATTATTGTAGCGTCCACCACTTGTAGGCAATTTTTATACATTATGACAGCGAATATTGGTCCATTAAATAATTTCAAGGATAGTGTTTAACTCATTTTTTTGAAAATTTACCATATGTCTATATACAAATATTCGTATATTGGCAGACGGAGGGAAACCAATCAGGACTCCCTTCCATATTACCAATTATCCGGAATCCCCGTAATATACATAGTTTTTAATTCATTCTCCTGCTTAACGCAATTCCTTTGTATGGTGCGACGTTGCCACTCCTATTAGTTATTCCGCTTTGTAATATTTTATTTATAGGTGATATTTTGTTTATGTACCTAGGTACTCGATAGATTCCTATAGTTTGTTTTTTTCGCAGGAGATAAAAATAACAGATCTTTATTAGGTAGATTCGTTTAGCACGAATAATAGTTTTTATGATTCTGGTTCAGATTAGATTTCATTTTAGTCACTTAAGTTTCGTATATTGCTCAAAATAATGAAATAAATCCACAGAATGTGCAGTTACGAAAAATACGCAATATCATTTTTGTCTCCGGCGAAAAAAAAAACAGATAGATATCATTATTAATTTACCAACTAGTTATTCGTTTACTAAACATGAAAAAATATCTAGATTGCCCAGCCATGATACATTATAGATTGACTATATTATTATTTATTTTACTATTGTAAATAAGTACTAATTGTAGACATTGACAGGTTGTTAATTTCTGTGGCGTATTGTTGCTGACATGAATAACTCTGAAAATATAATTTATTTACATACTTGCTCGTATTGAGTTTTGGTGCTCTCACTGCAAGTTTACGTTTTATGATCACTATCTTATGGATGAATGCGAATTATTTACCTAATCTGTACAAAATTACTCTCTACTTAACTAGATTTATTTTTGTGAAAGGCTATTTTTGATATATTATGATATTATGTTTGGTTTTGCAGTTAATTGAAATACAATTTGTTTGTGTTTGTTGTTGTAAATATTGGACGCTATATTACTAAAAACATGCATATTGTGCTCTAATTGGCGTCCGTATTGTGACCTACGCACATTGAGAACTTTCCACGCTTATGCTTGCTTGCATTTAAGTTTCTTTGGTTATATTTAGTAATTTGGGTAAATAAACTTGTGTAAGTTGATTAATGTACTTGACATGGACATTGAACGGAGTATTTACCCATATACGGACGTAAGAATATCCTAAAATATTCACACTAAGTTTTATTTGATGTCCACTTCTTCGATATCCAATGTCCAAAGTTATTGTTGATTATTGCATTTTACTATTTATTTATTTTAATTATTTATTAGTGCTCAAGGCATATTTTGGTATTTTTTGTCGGTGTATACTGTACTCAGTGCTAGTAGATAATTTTACTTTCCAATTTGTTTTTGTGTCCTTAAATTTAGCTACATATAATAATATGGACGTGCGAATATCTTAAAACATTCATACTGAATGATATTTGACGTCCATATTTTTGAATTTTGTTATATTTCTATATGTGGACGTCAGATTATCGGTAAAGTTTAATACCGCACGATATTTGACGTCCATATAACCATGAATATATTTATATTTTAATTTCTTGTGTATTAGACACACATTAATGGTCGTTGCTTTAATGACATTTTTCGCTACTGTTTTATTCTTATTTTATTGTGGAGAGCCCATGCGGTATAAAATAGTCATTTTGGTGTTTTATAAAATGTTTCGTTCTAGAAATGATAAAACGCTTAAAAGCTTAGAAAACGTGTGTGAAAAATTAAATTTTATTTCAACTAACTGCAAAACCAAACATAATAATATTATCATAGTTTAACAAAAACAGCCTTTCACAAAAATGAATCTAGTTAAGTAGAGAGTAATTTCGTACAGATTAGGTACAATAGTCGCACTTATCCTTAAGATGCAGTGAGAGCTCCAAAACTCAACAAGATCAAGTAAATAAATTATATTTTTGTTATGTCTGCAACAATATGCCACGGTCTATTGTAGAAATTAACAACCTATTGGCAGTTAATGCAGTAAAACCTTATATTAAAATGAGTTTCTTCGCCAGACCATATTAGGTTATTAGTCACAATTTAATAAAACAAACTTCTATGAAACCTGTCAATATCTACAATTGAGTCCATCTTCCTGTACTCATTTCCGATCGGCTGAATCTTATCGCCAGTGAATACTGGCGCTGCGAAGAGATGTTGCATCTCTTTGCGTATTTTATCGCATCTATCACGGGGAGTGCTCTGAGGAATTGTTCGGATTAATCCCAGCCGCCAAATTTCGTGAACGCACTATACGGCAAACGTCCCGATACCATCCACACCATCTGGATGCTTGGCGGTCCACCACTGTACGTTTCAAAAGGAGTTTTCTTCCGCGTACAACCTCTGTGGAATAATTTACCACCGGTGATTTTTCTGGACCGATACGACCTGGGGACCTTCAAGAAAAGAGCTTACTCCTTTCTAAAGGGCCGGCAACGCACCTGCAATTCCCCTGGTGTTGCGGTTGATCATGGGCAGCGGTAGTCACTTAACATCAGGTGAGCCACATGCTCGTTTGCCCCCTCTTCTATAAAAAAAAAATCAGACTTATACTCAAACAGAATTATGGGTTGATTACGAAATACCTAACAAGAGTTCTTTTAGGCAGATTAGTACCAAATGTAAAACGTTAAAATATAGTGCAGCATGAAATAAACCGATAAGCTGACGTGCGCACCTACATTTATAAAAATATAACTAAATTCAAAAATACGGGTGTCAAATATCATTCAGTATGAAAGTTTTAGGATATTCGGATGTCCATATTATATGTAGATAAATGTAAGGTTAAGAAAACAAGTTTGAAAGTAAAATTACTAGTACCAAGCGCAGTATAAACCATATAAAAATGTCCTGCAGACCGAATTACGGTCACAGCGGCCTGCCTCAATGGAGACTAGCCATCGGCGCAGGACAGGATTATAGTGCCCAAGTGTATGCGCAACCGCAGGTGCACTCTCTCTCATCCCTCATTCTCATAATCAGATGGGACGGTAAACCAACACGACCGGTGAGAGATCAGGCGCAGGACCAACGGCTTTACGTGCTTTCCGAGGCACGGGGCGAATACACCGCCAACTTCCTGAATCCAGGCAGCTATTGAGAATTTCTTGACAGAAAAACTCAATAACTGATTTTTTAGTCCGACCCGGGATTCGAACCCAGGACCTCACAATCAGCAGTCGCACTACTACAACCACTAGACCGACGAGGCAGCCATAACCTTATATCACTAAATACAAGTAACACATTGGCAACGGTGACGGAACGGCAACGTCGCATCTCCTAATTTTGTGCGGAAATCAAATACGGTCATAAACGAAAGTATTCACAAATCAGCAGCAGCGCTATTATTTTTGCAACGAAAATTAGCGGAACTACGTAAATATTCAGTACAGCAAGATTGGAAGAAAAATGATGTCCAATTTTTTTTTTAGATTTTGACATTTCTGTGATCAGCATGACAATTTGCGAACATTGCGCTAGGTCTCCTATTTGACGTCCGTATATTGGACGTCGTAAGCAGGCTGACGCCACATTATATGCAAAATTGGCCATACTTGATGTACAATAAGTTATGGGATGTATATATATTTGAACACATCGATAAATTTTATTTGACATCTGTGTCGTTTGACAATTTGAGTTTCTTTTTTGTGATTAGTGTAGTCCAACATGGTGAGTTTATGTTGAAGTTATATATATATATATATATTTTAAATGTAGGATATTCACCATGTTTGTCTAATAATTTTCTAATTCCTCTTAATTTCATATGAAATGGACTAGAATAATATTTAAACTACAAAAACATATATATAGCATGAACATGAATTTGTGCACCAAGCACATTTGGAATCAATGTGTTTATTATTGTCAAAGAGAGAGTAGTAAATGAATGTTTGTAATTTAGTGCTTAAACATGAGAAATACATAGATATTTGACCTATAAACACTGCAAACAAAATTACTTTACTTAACTTCTTTACTTACCCATAAATCCAGCAGGATATGTGGGGTCTGTTCGCACTTTGCCATCTACTTTAATGAGACGCTGTTTTACTATCTTGAGAACTTCGTTACCAGTCAGGGCATATTTGAGCCTGTTTCGTAGAAAGATGACTAGCGGCAAACATTCACGCAGCTTGTGGGGACCTGTGGATGGTCGCGGTGCGTACACGCCACCAAGTTTGTCCAACATCCATGCTTTTGGAGCGTTTAAACGCTTTAAATGTTTTTTCGGACCACGAGCCTGTACACACAAACGTATTGAATTCAAATATATTTTATAATTCTACATAACCTATGCATCATATGACTACTCAAATTAAATTATAAATATTCGCGACGTTTATAGATAATTGTATTCACCATTTCTTTCAAATATTATATGTAACAGATTAATTGTAGAATTTAAGATTTTTAAAGCAAAATACCTATCCGGTAAATTCGCTTAACACCAAAAGTTTAGTAAGGAATGCTAAAAATATACCATCGTGTAAACTTTTAAGTTAAATCAGAAAGAGTTCACAAAATGGAAAACAACTTTATTCGATCACAATCTACGATTTTATTAGATTTATCACGGAAATTCAACATAAACTCACCATGTTGGACTACACTAATCACAAAAAGAAACTCAAATTGTCAAACGACACAGATGTCAAATAAAATTTATCGATGCGTTCAAATGTAAAAAAGAAAATATAATTTTAGCCTATGGAAAGAAACCAAGTGAATTAATGAAAAGAAGTTTACAATGGTTGGACGTGGTATCAAATCCCAAAAATACTCTTGTTATTTTGATTTTACAAAATTTATATTTCGTAAAATCAAAATCCTAATAGTATAATAAATCCTAAAAGTAAAATACCTAAGAGCATAATAACTGTCTTAATTAAGACCCAATGCAACGAAAGATAAAAACACACACACACACACACACACACGCACACGCATACGCACACGCACATGCACACGCACACGCACACGCACACGCACACGCACACCGCACACGCACACGCACACGTGCATGCGCACGCGCACGCACGCACGCACGTACGCACGTACAAACACAGACACAAACACAAACACAAACACACACACACACACACACACACACACACACACACACACACACACCACAGTAGCCAAATAACAGAAAAAAGTGGATGATCGTTTTATAGAGAGCAGATTCTATTAGTCATAAACTAGCGCATTCTGTTGAGAGGGTCATTTTGATATTAGAAAATATAATACTATTGTGTTTGTGAAAAATCATATCAATTAGCCCTTTTCCTTCCACCGCCAAACTGGTGGCTAACCGACGTGATCTGAACACGCAAACAACAACATTCGGAAACTTCAACTTCAAGATTCATTATCGTCATAAAGTACCCACCACCCCACCCATTCGCTCCCGAACACATATCTTCTGTAGTCTTCAGTTCCTGCAAGCCAGTCCGACTTGTCTTCATCTCGACTCACCGCAGATTTATAAGGCATACTTCTGGTACTTGCTCCAGCACATCGTTCTCACCAGCATCACTTGCCAGTTTCCAGTGCGTAATACGGCATGCATTACACATCGGCATTAAGGACGCACCGGCAATCTGACTGCACTATCGACCTCCGGTCTGAGCAGGGGGTGATGTGGTGGCGCTGTCGTCGCGAAACACCATCGAAGCCTAAATCGCGCTATCAAAGAACTATCGCACGGAGGGTTGGCCGCTCCCGGGCAGAATACCTTGCCTGGCGGGAGATCTCCCCTTTTTCCTTCCTCCGCCAAACCTTTCTAATTTTTTTTTGTTTTGTTATAATCGATTTCAGTAAGTTGCATTATTTTTTTATGGGAGAGGGGGCAAACGAGAATACGGAATACTGATACTGACGGGAAGTGACTACCACCGCCCATGAAAAACGGCAATACCAGGGGAATAGCAGATCCATTGCCGGCTTTTAAAAAAGAGTAGGGTCTTTTCTTGAAGGTCCCTTAGTCGTATCGGTTCTCTTTTCTCTGGTAGTAGTCGACTCCACAAGGAAGTTAAGCAAGCCAGAATACTTCTAAATCGCACAGTGGTGGACCGCCAATCACACAGATGGTATGGATGGTATCGATAGTTTTGATGTGTGATGGTGAATTGAGCGGCTGTAATAAGCCCGAACAATTTCTCAGAGCACTCCCCGTAGTAGATGAGATAAGATACGCAAAGAAATGCAACATCTCTTCGCAGTGCCAGTGAATCATGCCAATTAGAAAGAGCTCGGTCACCGACGATTCACGCTGAGGGGTCGGACTTTCCTCCCATACCCTGAGCAACCTGTGAAGCATACGTCCACTGATGGGCAGTAACTACCTTTCCTTTCCTGCACGAACTCCATCCTTGGGCGGTTCACCGCGATAGGCTCCATCCCAAGATTGTTAGGGAAGGTTACGGAGTGTTAGGATATTGTGATAGGGAGGTAGGATTTAGGGCACGCTATCGGTTTCCTCGTGCGCTATGAAGAAGGTGACAGGGTCGAGGGCACCAGGACTAGAGTAGGAGTGTCAAGAAAGGTCAAAGAAGCGGAATCATCAGGAGCGATCCAGCCACAACGTCGAGTGGGGCTACCACGGAAACATCTACTAATACATGGGATACAAGTACGTCTGCAACAGCTACGAGCAGTAGAACGGAAGTGAGTGGTACGCGATCTAACGTCACGCAGAAGTGACAAGAGGACCAGTGATAGCTGAAGGCGACGGTCAAGAAGGGACTAAGGAAGCGGCATCAAAGAAGACAGATGCAGCTAACCAGCCAGGGAGTGGATCGAAGAACGGCAGTAGGTCATCACGATTGGCCCGGCTGAGAGCAGAAATGGAAGCACGAATTAAATTATGATACTATGTTGTTAAATACAGAGGCAGCGGAACGCGATGCAATGTACGCAGGCTGTCTAACCAATGTCAGTATTAATATTATTAAAGCTTCAGATCTACGATGGGCAATACGCCGTCTTAAGGCATCGGCAGCTTGCGGCCTTGATAATATACCTGCGTTTTTAATAAAGGACTGTATGGCAGTTTTAGAGGAAGCGTTACTGTATGTATACAATCTTTCACTTCATCAATGTCTCTATCTCAATGTACGGAAAGTTGCCAGGGTAACTTCCGTACCTAAAAGTGGTACGTCCACTGATATAAATAACTTCAGGCCTATAGCAGTGTTAACAGTATTTGCCAAGGTGTTTGAATCCATTACAAACAATTCCGTTTATAAACAAATAGGCGGGATTCTAGATAACTGTCACCGTGTAACCGGCCGGAACACTCTATTTTGAAGAATCGTATACTGTTTGTGGACTACGTGACCACTCGGGTTAAGTCAGGTTGTCAAGTTGACGCGGTCTAGTTTGATTTTAAGAACGCGTTTGACCTTGTTGATAATGATATCCTTTTATTGAAATTTGCAATGATTGGATTTTCTAATCAACTTTTAAAATTTATGGCAGATTATCTTAGAGACCGAAAGCAATTTGTTAAGCTAAGAGGTTATATTTACTCACGAATATTACACACGCTCGGGTGTGAGTCAAGGTAATCGTAGTATGCTCGGTTCAACTCTATTTTTAATAATGATTAACGATCTGCCCAGTATTATCTCAAGGGCAAAATGTTTAATGTTCGCCGATGACATAAAACTTTTCCATGCAGTGACCGGAGCTGAGGATTGTATGGCATTACAGCGCGATATTATCGCAGTGGTTGAATGGAGTGTAAAAAACAAATTGCCCCTTAATAATTCAAAGTGTAAGACTAAATTTTTCTCAGTCTCGCAATCCAATCACAACGACATACCAGGTAGCAGGTACTCCATTAGGACGTGTCTATACAATTCGCAATCCAGGCCTAATCATGAATTGTAAATTGAATGTTCATGAACATATTATTAAAACGTGCAAACAAGCGAATAAAAGTCTAGGTGTCATAATTAGAACTTCGTATCAGTTTAAAAATGTCCGCGTGATAAAACTCATGTATAATGCTTACGTGCGAAGTAAGCTAGAGTATAATGCCTTAGTATGGAACCCCTGAGAAACCATGATAATTGTTACGAGCTTAGGGTTCGTGACAATAAAAACTGCCGATTGAATTACCAAAATTAACACTTTAATTACCGACCACCTATTAAAACTTAATGGACACTGAAAATTAATCACACGGATTCACTTTATATCACTTCGAATCTTCACTTGTATCGCCAAATTCAATACTGCCGCGATAGCGGCTTGCAGCGGCTTTAAAAACACCTTTTCACCGCAACATCCAGAATGTTCCAGCAAATACCGGTCGAGACCGACTAAGTGCGGAAAGTTCGAGCGTGGACTTTTCTAGAAAGCTTAATTCTTCTATTCGTTACTAGATAGCGCTGTTGGTTGAAAGTTTAGTCATGGCATTTTCTGGAAAGCTCCTCGCTCTGTTCCTTGACACTAGATGGCGCTAGTGCCAGGTACCAGACATCATCTTAGGCGCGCAAAACTGCCCCCTCCTAAGACATGCATGTCCCGAGCATTATCGGCCGTCATCACAGTTGATCCACATGGATGATCTTAGGAGTGCCTCTTGCACCTTTCTGAACCGGCTCCGCAACGTTAAGGGCTGTCCTCTCTCATGGCGCACCAACATCGCACAACTTCAATGCACCTCCACTACGAGTCTGAGGTCCCTTCACAGACGCACAACTTGTACATGTGCGACACCAATCCTCGACATCTTCACGATAATGGACCCAGTAAAACCATTCTGGGATCTTCAGTAGAGTTCGTTTAACTCCCAGATGGACTTCCGAACAACCATTATTGTACAGCTGTAGAACAACCGGCACTTTAGCTTTAGGGACAACCATTTGCAAACGACAGCTGTCTCCTCGACCATTTTCCCATTTACGGCACAGGACTCTATCCTGAAACAAAAAGCTGTCCCATTGGGCCCAATAGCTTTTCGTGGTCGAGCTCATCGCTGAGATGTCGCTCCACTTGGGCTTGGGAGCACTGGCCTTCATCCATTCCAGAATCGGCTTGATGTCCGGATCTTCCTGCTGTGTATGTTGTAAACTGTCCTTCCACTTGTTGCTGAGGTGGTCGGTCCTAAGCATCCTCACAGATACCACTTCCTTACTCTCTTGCCTAGAACTATTCTTGCACTTATCAGGATAACGTCTTCTTGACAATGCATCTGCGTTGGCTTGTATTCAAAACGGTCTTCGAAGACACGCGTGAATACTTTTCAGGAGTGCAAACCTGGCACGGCTTAGGAAGGCTTTGAGAGGAGCCGCTAAGGAAGCGGTGAGGTCGTTATTATTTACGGTATGTGAACCCGATGAAATAATAAGTGCATTAGAAAGGAGATTTGGTAGAGTTGAGATGCTCATTCTATCCGAAATTGAAATGTAAAGAAAATGCGGAGGATGGCAGAAACATCGGCACCTTTGCTAGCAAAGTTATGAATATGGTTGCATCAATACGTGCGTTAAAACAATCACAATATTTACACCCACCGCAGTTAGTGAGTCGTATAGTGGATAAGCTTGGCATTGTGATTAAATTCAAGTGGTTCGAATATCGAACACAG